TATATATATATATATATATATATTGTACATATTATTGTTATTATTGTTGTTTTGTTGCTCCTTTTTTTACATGTAATTACATAAATTTTCAGGTATGTATCAAATCAGCATTACAGAAAGTGCATATTTCTACATTACAGTTGTATAACATCATAATGATTCTTTTATTTGTGAGCTTATTTGTGTGTGTGTGTGTGTGTGTGCATGTTTATGTGGTTTATGAGGACACAAATTTGTATAATAACATGGGTATGACATAGGTATTACAACGAGAAGGTGATTTATGAGGACATTTTCAGTGTCCCCGTAATTCAAAAGGCTTATAAATAATTCAGAATTAGTTTTTTTGAAAATCTAAAAATGCAGAAAGTTTCCTGTGAGGGGTAGGTTTAGGGGTAGGGTTGGTGTAGGGCAATAGAATATACGGTTTGTACAGTATAAAAACCATTACGCCTATGGAGAGTCCCCATAAACCATAAAAACAAACCTGTGTGTGTGTGTGTGTGTACGTGTGTGTGTGTGTATGTGTGTGAATAGTAATACAAATAGTATTTATTTTGTTAAATTTAATTGCATTAAGTTTGAGGTATAAGAACATCAATTAAATACAAAAGGCAGGTTTTCTCTTTACATAGAAAATTAATTTTAATGCAGTTAATTAAAAAAGCAAACAGTGTAACAGTATAATATAACACGCATATAAAATATGCAGAGGAAATAGGCAAATTTCATAAAGAAATAGATCCTCCTCCATAAATAATTATTCTTGTAGTAACATCTGTTTAACCACAGAAGTTGTAAAATTAGACTTTTGAATGTTTTCTGCTGATAACTTGCACTTCCTTCCTAAAAAACAGAAAAGAGATAACAGAAATCATTAGCTTTAATTTCAATACTGTTCAGTTGATGTTCATTTGTTTTGTTTATTCACAGCAATCACACATCTGCAAGCTTACCTCAGCTTACGGATACTGATCATCACCCAGGTTTTGGAGGGGTCTGTGCAAATGTTCCTGCCTTCTTTTGTGTGGAATCTGTGAGGTAAAGCAGCATCTTTTGGTTAGGTTTTTATCTAGGAATCAGTTATAATGCTTATAGTCAGTCAATGCAAAATGCACTATATGTAGAAAGCATCTTATACTTACATGACAGCATCAATGTGGCAGTTTCTCGTCATGGTCTGAATGGAATATCCTTTGATAATTGCCATTGGTATCTGTCCTTTGGTATACTTCCTACAACATGCTGTAAACACAACAAGAATAGTTTAGATTTTGTTACATTATTTAATCTCTACAAAAATATCTTCACATCATGAACCTCAGATTTTAAAAACATTTAACAGTGTCTCTGAGAAACAAAACAGTTTTCCCAATGAAGGCGTAAAACCTACAAATTCATCTGCGACTGTGCAAATAGCTTTATTATCAGTCCAGTTATATAAAGAAATGTACTTACACAAAGCAGAAGCATCTGTACAGAGTACACTGAGAGCTGCAACCAACAGCACGATCACTGAAGCTGAAATGCGAGTCATCGTCTCTGTCAGTGTGTGTGTGAGATCCTCAGAGCAAGAGTCAAATGAGAAATGTGCCAGTTGTGAGAGCGAGTCTATAGTATTTAAAGAGAGTTGGACATGGAAACACCCGAGACAGGGTTTTCCGTGCATACGTAAACAGAAGTACATGTGCACAAAAAAAAACAATGAGATATTATCTGCCCTGTCAGTCAAACAGGTGCAACAAGGAAGAACACAGAGGAAATATCAGCCAGAGGGAAAGCACAGAACACAGACTTTTAATGTTTACTCCCCTGAAAGAGAGAGTGAACCATTAACATATTTGAAATGTTTCCTACTGGCAAATTAATAGAAACAATGCTGGAAACTCCAGGAGGCCTTAAGTACAACTTGAAGGTCACTAGAACAAAGAAAAAATTCAGGACTGAAAATTTGCCAAAGTATGCTGTGACATAGCTTTATATTATGTAATATTAAATTACATCAATGAAAATGCCAAAGGGTGTGTGACATAGTTTACTACTTCTGATACTTTGACTCTGCTGTCATTACTTGTGTGTATATATTATATTATATTATATTATATCATATTATATTATATTTTTATCTAACAAATATCTCCATGCTCAATTTGGAGGCAAACACATTCAGATTTTATTCTTTACAATTACAAATAAGCTTACTGCACACATGCAGTGTACTGTGACTAGCACATAGGAATATAAAATGTGATATAACATTTTAAGTTTCTTGTTTGCTTATTCACTTTTAAAATAATTTCAACCCACACTAAAACTGGCAAGTTTGCTGAAATAAAACTTATCATAGCACTTCATTTTTAACTGCATTTTTAAAATGAAAAATAATTTAGTTAAAATTTTGTAGAGGTTTTTAAAGGAATAGTTAACCAAAAAATGAAAATTTAAGAGAATCTGATGAGTGTTCGATTTCCAGGAAGGGCAGATGCCGTTGACTGCTGAATGTTAGTCTAAGTGTTTGACTACGTTATTTATTTTATTTTGGAAGCAGATTCAAAGAAATTATATTTAATTCAAGTAACTCATCTGCTATCACAGACATTACTATTATCCACAGATTCCACATCTTGGAAATAATTCATGAAAAATAAAATAATTAAAATGAAATAATTAATGTATTTGCTCATTTTTTAGCTACATTTTTAAATTAATAATAATAATAATAAACAAATTGTAGATATTGTTAAATGAATAGTTAACTCAAAATGAAAATTTACTGAAAAGATGTAGATGAGTTTGTTTCTTCATCAGAGCAGATTTGGAGAAATTTTGCATCACATCAATTGCTCACCAGCGGATCCTCTGCAGTGAGAGGACAACAGGTGATGGACCTTTTCACTTGAGGAAGCATTATTATGGATTATGAACTTGTATTTTGGCCAGAAGCAACGATTTAAAGTTATAAAGTCTTAATGATGGATTTGTTTCTTACAAAAGCACAGCTTTTCACTTCACAAGACATTAATTAATGGACTGGACTCATATGGATTACTTTTGGAATACTGTGATGTCTTTATCAGCTGTTTGGACTCTCATTCTGACGGCACCCATTCACTGCAGAGGATCCATTGGTGAGCAAGTGGCGTAATGCTAAATTTCTCCAAAACTGTTCTTAAAAAGAAATAAACTCATTTTCATCTTGGATGGCTTAAAAGTGAGTACATTTTCAGCAATTTTTCATTTTTGGGTGATCTATTCCTTTAAAATTACTGTTGCATAAAAAACTTTCACTATTTAAAGTGTCATTGACCAATATTTGAATTTGTTGTCAAAGTCACTGCCACACATGGAATATTTTACATACTGTAAAACCGCTTGGAATGACCAGTTCAGATAATGATTGATAAAGAGCGACACAGTGCATTTGACATGGAACTTTTGAAACCAGGAAGTGGGAATGTCCACCAGGACAGGACTCAAACCTTAACCTTTTGATTATAGAATGAATCCATTATTAAATTATGATTATATTGTGTTTTATGATTATATAACAGCTTTAATAGATAAAACCACACACACACATGCACACAAATGGATTATTCTGAACTACCCACATGCTCAGCGGCGTCCTCATTTCCACATGCTAACGTGTGGTTTCTTGTGGGGGTGTAGAATTACATATATTTTCTAGGTCATAATGTTTTATGTAACTCATGTCCTAAAATCAAAGGGTGAAATAGGTCATAAGAGTGAGAACAAAGCCTTACAGTGGCTCCTCTAGCAACGAATCACTTCCCTTCAAACCCTCAGCCTTCGCTTTAGTCTTTCTGCGTGACTAGACACCAGTTTTAATGTCACTTAAAGCATTGCTCTCTGTGTTGGTTTTACTAAAACATTTTCACATTCTTTCATTTACACCTCCAGGTTTAGAGAAGGTGTCATGACATTTCGAGTTTAATTTCTACGAAATACACTTATGATCTTTTAAAATGGAAGTGTCTGGATTAGAATTAGAGTAAGGTTTAAGTCATATCAGGTCAAATATAATATAGTTTTTTTCCCATCAAAGGCTGCGATCTGATCTAAAGTTGTGATAAGAGAATCTTGATGAGTGCTCGATTTCCAGGAAAGGCGGATGCCTTTGACTGTTGGATGTTAGTCTAAATGTTTGACTCGATGTTAATGTTATTTCAATTATTTTGTCTTGAAAGTAGATGCATAAAAATTATATTTAACTCAAGTAACTCATCTGCTATCACAGGCATCACTATTATCCACAGATTCCATATCTCGGAAAAAATGCAGAAATGCTCACTTCAAATGGAAAATAGTTAATAAAAAACTGATTTCTTAGCTGTGCTCACTGTTTAATGTTTAATGAACATTTGCATTACTTTGTCTAGAATAAAATGGGAAACGAGTTCAGACACTGCAGATGTGATGAAGTCACACACAATACAGACCGTCACGTTAAAGCTGCTCAGCAAAGATCTGCTCTTTTATAGACATCACTTGTATTTGTTTATATTTTAAAGTGTTGCGTTTTAGCAGGCCTAATACCAAATATAAATGCTAATAATTTAAATAATTAGAATTAAATAAAAAATACTATTATTCATTGTTCTACCTAATTTCCAGTATATATATATGTATATATACGATGTCACGATGATAATTTTAATGATTTTTTACATGACTTCAAGATGCCATTGGTTACATTAAACATATAAGTTACCAATGAGATTCAAATGCATTATATTTTAAGTTTACATGTATGCATTTAGCAGGTGCTTTTGTCCAAAGCGACTTAAAATGGAAAAAATGTTCAGTACCTGTATGTATGCATGTATATACAGTGGGGAAAATATTTATGTAATCCCCTGCTGATTTTGTAAGTTTGCCCACTTACAAAGAAATGAAGGGTCTGTAATTTTTATGGTAGGTTTATTTTGATGTATAGAGACAGAATACCAACCAAAAAAATCCAGAAAAAACACATTATATAAAGATTAGAAATTGATTTGCATTTCAGTGAGTGAAATAAGTATTTGATCCCCAAGCAAAACATGACTTAGTACTTGGTGCAGAAGCCCTTGTTGGCAAGCACAGAGGTAAGACATTTTTTTGTAGTTGGTCACCAAGTTTGCACACATGATCCCAGGAGGGATTTTGATCCACTCCTCTTTACAGATCCTCTCTAAATCCTTAAGGTTTCTTGGCTGTCATTTGGCAACTCGAAATTTCAGCTCCCTCCACAGATTTTCTGGAGACTGGCTAGGCCACTCCATGACCTTAATGTGCTTCTTCTTGAGCCACTCCTTTGTTGCCTTGGCGGTATGTTTCGGGTCATTGTCATGCTGCAAGACCCATCCATGACCCATCTTCAGTGTTCTGGCTGAAGGAAGGAGGTTCTCGTCCAAGATTTTACAGTACATGGCCTCGTCCATTTGCCCCTCAATGAGGTGAAGTCATTCTCTGAATCATTTAGATGTTCTTTGGCAAACTTTAAACGGGCCTGTACATGTGCCTTCTTGAGCAGGGTGCTGCAGGATTTCAGTCCATTGCGGCGGCCTTGTGCAGATCTACAGTCTTGTCTCTGACATCCTTTGACAGCTCCTTGGTCTTGCCCATGGTGATGGGAGAGGTTGAAATGGAAGATACAGATTGTGTGGACAGGTGTGAGGACAGCAGAAGCAATCAAACCAACAAAGGAAGAATGAGAGAGCGAGTGGGTCAAGGGTCAAGTATATGTATAATTTTTTTGTTGCACTAAATAAACATTCATACATTATTTGGGTAAATTTTTTTACATTCTTGTATAATATATTTTAAATCATTATTGTTTTAGGATCTCCTCAGTTTTTAAAAAATGTAGATTTTTTTTAATGAAGCAAATTACACCTAAAATATACAACTCATCTTATACTGTATTCATACTGTACATTTTATCGTAAAATTTTCATGTTGAGGAAAAACGTCCATCCACATGTTTACACTTTTTAACCTTATCTAACTTTTTAATTATTATTTTTAAGAACTACATATAATCTATTCTTAAAATAGTATTTCCATTTTTCACTATTGTTTTTGCATCTACAGAGTTGTTTTGTTTTGCATTCCTTACATATGTTTTTGAATGATATTTACCAGCACTAATAATGTTCTGTGTCTAAACCAGTAATTTCAGTGATCACACACTTGTGATAGTATCACAAAATGTGACAGATTTAGCTGACCTACTAATACTTAACTCAAGACACCTTGATTTTCCCCCAGTCTTCCACCACTCAGTGACGCTGCTGTGTGGTCCACAAATTCCCCTCACGAACAGCTATATAATGTAGCTTTTGGGGATGCCAGATAACGTGGACTATAAGAGCTCTACATCTTCATCATCACCATCATCAACACTTCTGCTGCTGTCCGCACAACTGTCATCAACTTGTTGAATACTTTTGATCAATCTCATTTTTCTTTTTCACCTGTAAGTGTCTTGTTTCCCTCCCATGATGAGCAGACTCGTCCTGACGTCATCTGCGCTGCTGCTGTTGCTGTGTGTCTGGGTCAGCCTGAGTCAAAGTAGTAAGTAAAGCTGACTTTTCTCAGACAATCTCTTTGATT